TTTGATTAAGTCAAGAGTTCAGCTTGATCTTTTAGTGATGACCATAAAGTTTGATATTTCGCTTTTAGATTGCATCGTGAGATTTTTGTTGCGGTAGACAAAGATACTAGCATTGCTTATTCAGATGGATTTGGATAATGCGTTGTTAGGATTTGACAAGATGCCCACAACTTGGACGTCGAAGGAGAAATAATGTAGGGATCAAAAGGTCCTATCACAAATTCATCTTTATATTTTCAAATAATATTTTGAAGGAGAAGATTTTCGCTGTATTGTTGTTGAAATTGGAGCAAATGCATGACGAAGAGTCTAACTAAACACAGTGTATATATTCTCAACGACGACAGAAGGTAAGATCACTTAACTATTCTTAAGGAAATCATCTCTGATTTGAAAATTTTGGAGGTTAAGTATGAAGAAGAGGATTTGGGTTTGATTTTATTGTTTTTGTTGCCCACTCTATATATGTCTTTTAAATATACGATCTTATATAGTTGTGATATTTTCATCATTGGAGAAATCTATGATGCTTTATTTTTTAAGGAGAATATGAAGTATCTTGTTGGATCTAGGGCTCATGGATATTGTCTTATTGATGATGGTGATTACGTGAGGGACAAATTGAGGTCTAATTTCAGCAATAAAATTTGTAATTATTACAAGAAGAAGGGGCACATGATAAATGATTGCTATAAGTTAGAAAATTAAAAAAAATTGGTTACAGTTAATCAGAATGGAAAGCAACCAAATACTTTAGGTGAAACCAGTATTTTAGAAAATTCTCACAATAATGGAGAACTTTTAATTATTTCTGACAATGACTCCAAACTTGATGAGGATTGGATTCTTGATACAGCTTGCACTTTTTATATGTGTCACATCGGGATTTGTTTTCTACATATGGAATAGATTCGAAAGGTGTTGTGGTAACAAAGAATAATACTCCTTGTAGGATAGCTGGTATTGGAATTGTCAGAATTAAAATGTTTGATAGGATTGTCAGAATACTTGATGCTATGAGTCATGTTCAAGATTTGAGAAAAATCTTGTCTTCTGGAGGACTTTTGATTTGAAAGAATATAAATACATCAATGAAGATAGAATACTGGAGGTTCGTTTAGGAACCTATGTCATGATGAAGGGATAGAGGATGTCCTAAATATATATCTTGCATGGTTCTACAGTGTTTTGAAGATCAATCAGTAAATTGTAGGCAAATATGTAGATTTTGAGTTTGGTTCAGTACCGTTGAAGTTTAGTTTGAGGTCTACATTGAAGAATACATTCCAGTCAAGTTCATAAGTTATAAATAATTTCGCTTTGCCACCATCACCAATGGTGTAATTATATTCAATTGCTAGAGACAAACCTAGAAGAAATATTAGGCCTCCTAATTGGTAAGTGGATGCCAATTTAACTACTTTTACTTTGAATGTGGTTAAAGGTGTAGGTTTTAACTAAGAACGTTTTATTGAAGCAGTTAAGCGTGTTTTTGTTACAGGGCTTGTTTATGCCTCGTTTAGTGATTATTAAATTATTTATGATTTTTTGTTGCTTGTGAGGATAATTTGGGCAACTTTGGTGTTCAAGGTAATCCTGCTGAGTAATGCTTGAAATTCAGTTGATACTCAGTTGTTGAATTTGCCCTAATTGGATTTTGTGGTGGAGATGGAGATTTTTTTATTTTTTCAGTTGGAAATTTTGATGGAGAATTTTGTTTGGTGTTTTTGCCCAAGAGTTAAGCCTTATTCTTTGCAGTGAAATTTATCTTTAGGTGGAGAATCTTTAAAGTTCTGTTCATTGCAGTGAAATTCATGTCAAAATGGATTATGCCAGAATTAAGGTGTGATCTGAATTCTATTTGGAATATTTTTTGGGAATCCTATTCGAGGTCTATTTTGCAATTCTAGTTAAAATTCAATTCGTAAGTTTAATTGAGAGTTTGGAATTTATGTTGGATATAAAGAGATCAAGATATGGACCAAGAAAAATTTAGGACACATTCCCGCCCGTTGCCCGCCTGATTCTCGCTTGAGCACTCAAAGCAGAGAGCTGCACTAAGCGAGAGCTAGCCTACAGCTGAAGCGGCAAAGTCATCTCTCGCTTGGCGCTCGATCAGCAATTCGTCTGGCCCAAGGCCTATTTCGCTTTTTAAACGCTTTTTCAGCATTCTTTTTCCTTCCATAATTCTATTTTGAAGGGGTTGAAACATTCACTGTATATAATTAGCTCTTCATTATGATTCAGATAAGTTAGACAATATTGTAAATACACCTTGTATTTTTTCTCCATATTTTATTTAATTCTCATTTCTTTTGCCAATTATTTTTCATTCTTGTGTGTTTTATGATACTTATTTCATATTGTGCCACATATTCATCCTCACATTCACAACATTTTTGAATAAATTAAATGAGCAATATTCGAAAGTGAATACTTGTTATTATAAATGAAAAGATTGCAAATATCTTTTAACGAAGTCCGAACTTGCTTTATATAAAGTTTTTGTCAAGGTGACATGGCTACAGGCACTTGGGGCATATAGACATGTGTCCCACATTTCATATATTTAAGATAGGAGTAAAGAAGCTCCTCGTAAGGTGACCGAGTTGGTGAAATAGGTAAGTATGGAGGCCTATGGTCATGAGTTCGATTCCCTCTATCAACATTTTCTCGATCGAGCCTGTCGCACCGACTTGCCTAGTGCAGTTTATCTGGCTGACGTGTTTGCAGGCTATTGCGTCAGTCCGATAGTTTATCCAGTACGCATCCAAAGTGTAGCGGTCGTGGGTTCTGTCATCATTTAATAATAATAAAAAAAAAGAATGGTCACCATTTTGGTGACTCATCAAACCTCTGTATGTCTAAAGTAATTTTCGTTATACAATGCTTCCTCGGGATGTTATTCTAGTAGATGATCAACCTTATTGGCTAGTTGCTTTCCTGTCCTTTGTCTGGTGACTCATCTACCTCTATAGGTCTAAAGTATTTGTTGCTACTCAATACTTCCTCAAGATGCTATTCTTGTAGATGATCAACCTTACTGGTTAGTTACTTTTCCGTCCTCTGTCATCGATATATAGTCTCTCATATGCATGGGCGGAGGTAGTGGGGGGTGGGGCAGCCCATATAAAAAATTAAGAAGAAAGTGCTCAAATGTTAGCATTAGTCCACTACTCCTCAGTCCATATAAAAAATTAAGAAGAAAGTGTAGAGTCTTGACCCAAATGTTAGCATTAGCCCAACTCTAGTTTGAATCTCAACCCAAGTCTAATGTTCAATTATTTAAATGGTATAAAAGACATTAATTATTAATTACTTTTTCATGAAATTCATAAAACGTGAATATTTTATTATCAAATTAGATATTCTGCTTAATGTATGTTTGACTAAAATTTACTTATAATTATTAAATAAATTTTATTATAGAACATTTGTATTGATTAGATCTAAAAGTAAATTACTTATTTTAATAGTTAGAGACACTACATATTTTTCAAAATTTTAAGGTATTTTTTATTTCTACATATGTTTTCATTTATTATTTATTCATATTTATTAAAAAAATTACTTATTTTGACCATAAAATAGATATTATGATCGAAATAAATAACTTTTTATAGATTTGATATTGACAATAAAAAGAATATTTGTTAAAATTTATTTATTTATAAAGTAATCTACATATGAGTATATTTTTGAAATCAAGCAGAAAATGGAAGTGAATTAAATTTAATTTCTTTAACCCTCGAAATCCTTAGTTTATTTTGCTTACTTTGATTGAGATTCTTTACTCACTTTGAAATGTAGTGATATAAAAGATCGATAAAAACACGAAATAATATTTTGAGACAATACATATGGTTTATAGTGATATATTATTGATTGCATGTTTCAATTCAGTTTCAGTTGTTCGGAAAGATTGGTAGTAAAAGTTATTAGGAGAGTACTTATTAAGTATTTTTTTTTAACTTTCACTGGTGGATATGTATTTTTGCTAATTTCTATCATGATTCAGTTAGTTTATATTTTTTAAGGTAAGCATTTGTTAAAAAAATACAAAGATTTAGTGGAATATATTAATGTGAGACATCTAAACTTTTTATTTTATTTTATTTCATTGAGTTTTGTATACTTTTTGTTGTGAATGTCATGAGAATAGCCTCCGAAACTCGATTTCTTATGACGTAAGTTTATTTTAAAAAAAATTAAATTTCAGCCCAGCTTAACGTTGTTTTCTAGCTTTGCCCCTGCTCATATGATATTGAATTATAGCCCCCCAGGACACATCCGAGTTGGTGGAACAATCACTTCGCTGGGACGCTGGAAGCAAGGGTGGGGAGTTCGATTCCTGGAGTTAACACTGGGAGCCACATGGAGAGGAAGCCATTGGTGTGAACAAATGCCCAGTGAGGAGAGCTCTCTTTGCGGAAGGAGTCCAAATGAGTTGTGGGAACCTGGGAGCCAACAAGGGCACATCCTGCGATTTACCTCCCTGAGCTGCTGAGGGGCCGGAGGTTCAGGGACAAGGATCTAGTCGGACGCAAGCCCGGACACCTTTTAAAAAAAAAAAAAAAAAAAAAAATGAATTATAGGTTAAATCAGTAGTCATTTCTACCTCTATCATTTTCAAAAGTGGTTGAAATGTAATTTAAAACGACAGCATTTTAGCAGCCAGAGGGTTCGAATAAATGATCACCGAATAAGGCTGCGTCACTTGCCGTATTGTTAGGGAAGAAGTGACCTACAAACCAAAACATACCCATCTCTCTTTTCTATCTAAAAGGCCTTATCAATCGCGCACGTGTTGATGCGTTGTAGAAGTTTGGACGGATAAGATAACGAGAAGGTTCTCTACGGCTCTGATTTGCTAACATTAATCTTTTTGTGTACAACCGTGCGTACCTGAACAATCTCCCGACATGCTAATCCGCAAAGAAAAATATCTTCTCCTACTTAGTGGACTAGGTATATATATCACCCATTTCGCTAGAACCCTAGTTTTCTTTCCTCTTTTCACTCTCGCCCTCTAGGAAAAAAATTTATTGATTCTTGAAGATTGAGAAGATTTTAATCAACTTTCGAAGAGTAATCTACAAGATGTCGGGTTCGTACGGTTATGAAGGTGATGGATCTGCTCCCCCGCCCATGGGCGGTGGAGGTTACGGAGGATATGGGGGAGGAAATAGTGGTGGTGGCAGTGGATATGGAAATTATGGTGGCAGCGGCGGCGGGGGCTATGGTGGTAATAGAGGCGGCGGAAGAGGAGGAGGTGGAGGTGGGGGATACGGAGGTAATAGGAATAGTTGATAGTTTTCTTTTTCTTTTTCGTTTTCTAAGTACTTTGGTTATTTATTTTGATATCTGGATTTGAATTTCTCGGATTTGACCTTGTATCATTGTGTTTTTGTAATTTATTGCTATTTATCTGAGATCTGTTCCTCTTATTTTAGGAGGCGGTGGCTGCTACCAAGGAGATCGTGGGGGACGTGGCGGTTACCAAGGAGATCGCGGGGGACGTGGTGGTGGTGGCGGTGGCGGTGGCGGCGGCGGCGGCAGAGGTGGTGGGAGTGGCAGGGAAGGCGATTGGCGATGCCCTAATCCAGGGTAACGTGATTCGCATGGAACTGGCTTTAATTTATTGCATACCGTCTTGCTCCTGTTTACTGTACTATTAACTTGACTTCTTTTCTCCGGAGACTTTCTTCTAATCCCAACTCACCCAACGAAGAAAGAAAGAGCTCATAATTTGAACATAGAATCGAGCCATTGTGAATGGGCAAAGCCAGGTCCCTCGGGAGTCGGGAATAACAATTATCCACCCTTTTCCCTGGCACGGTGCCACATCACTTGCGAGTTCACACTGAAAACTTATATCAATATATAGTAAATATATAATTAGAGGAAAATTTTATCAATTTGTGTTATTTTGTTTGTATAATTTAAAATTAACGAGAGACGCTAAATAAAGTGCCCTAGTTGAGCCTTCATAGGAGAGTAGATTTTTTTACTTGTACTTCATATGTTAAGTTTTTTAGTATATTCAAGAAAACACAGATTTTGTATCTTTTCTGGTTTGTATGGATGTAACTTACTGGTGTTGCATGTGATGGGATTGAAAGGGGATTTAAGATATTATTTAGTTTATTAATAAACTTCATCAAGGAACTAGACTTCTCATATTATCACAATTTCGAACTATTCAATTCTTTTCTAGCTCTCTGGATTTTGCACCTCAAATCTGCATCTCCATGCTCATTATTATGCTCATATTTCTGCTATCTTGAATATCTTGCATATTTGTGTTATAAAACTTTTGACGAAGTGTAAAATGGATATGATATTTCAGTTCTGTTTGTTAATTGTAATTGATTTTTAACCTCCTTGGATGTAGGTGTGGGAATTTGAACTTCGCTCGAAGAACTGAGTGTAACAAATGTGGTGCAGCGTCTCCTGCTGGTTCTGATGATCGTGGGGGTAGAGGTGGTGGTGGTGGAAATACTCGTGGGGGAAGAGGTGGTAACTATTATGATAGTGGAAGTGGTAGGGGTGGTAATGATTTTGATGGAAGAAATAGTAGAGGTGGTTCTTATGGCGGTAGTCAAGGAAGAGATTATAGTGGGTATGGACAGGATACTCCAGTTGCTCCTGCATCTTATAATGGGGTGGGTAACAACTACCCCCCACCTCCTCGTGCCTATGGCGGGAGCCCTAATTATGCTCCAGACGCAGTTCCTCCGCCTGCAAGCTATACTGGTGGCCCTGCTTCATATCCTCCATCATATGGTGCTCAGGCTAGTTATGGTGGTGATGCACATAGTGATAGCCGTGGTGGGGGACGAGGTGGCCCACCTGGTGGCTATGGAGGAGATTCTCGAAACCCATCTGGAGGTTATGGTAGTGCTGAAACAGACGCTCCAGCAGCAGTCAAGCAGTGTGATGAAAGTTGTGGTGACTCCTGTGACAACGCAAGAATTTATGTCTCAAATTTACCACCAGATGTGACTACTGATGAGCTTAGAGATCTTTTTGGAAGTATTGGACAAGTAATGTGGAAATTTCTTTGCCTTGTTAATTCTTTGCTATGCATGAGTGGATGCACAATTATTTAGCATGACTAATTTACCTGCTGTGCGATTTTGTGTGCGGGCTGTATGTACTCTAGGGTTAATGTCTGCATAAATTTCCGTGTTATCTTTCTGGATTATATTTGAGGGCATTAGGAACTGTTACCACCGAATCTTGACTGACACATTCTAACTATGTACTGTGTGGACATCATTTTTGTGTTATTACAAATAAAGCCCCCTGTTTGTTTCTCATTTTTGGAAGAATGAGAATGAAAAATATGATCGTTATGGGTCCCACACAAGAGATAGAAATTCAAATTTGGTGGCTTGATGTGATGGATAACCGTCATATTTTTCATTTTAATGAGAAAAGAATAAGAACCAAACAGGGGCAAAATAAACTGGGTAATAGTAGTATCCTTTTAAGCAGTTATATGTGTATCATCTCATCTTCTATTTTTTTCTTCAAATTTTTTTGATGAACTAGGTAGCAAGAATCAAGCAAAAGCGAGGATACAAGGACCAGTGGCCCTGGAGCATAAAAATATACACAGATGAACACGGAAACAGCAAAGGAGATGCAGTTTTGTCCTATGAAGATCCATCAGCTGCACATTCAGCTGGTGGTTTTTTCAATAGTAAGAACTTGATTGACTGTTATCTTGGTGTTTGGAATTTCTTATGTTTGTGTATTGTTGATATGGTTTGGCTTAACAGTGCATGAGATGAGAGGTCACAAAATTAGTGTCATAATGGCTGAGAAGTCAGCTCCAAAGGGTCCTCCTTCATATGGTTCTGGGTAACCCTTCTTTCCTCAATTCCTTTTTTTTTTTTTTTTTTATGTGCTTAACGAGAATCTAAAACATGTTTTGTCTATACTTAAAATGAAGTTAAACTTTTACATCTTCTAGTATACTCCTTTTATTTTTATAAGTAAAAAGGTTAGCAGAGTAGAAATTTGTTTCAAAATAAATAACTTAATTCATTTCTTATCTTTTGAGTAACAAAAATAAATGTTTATTTTGTATCTTTTATATTGTTAAAAGAACTTATCAAGGGCCCGTTTGAGCCACATTATTCCAAAAAAATACATTCTTAAACAGTGATTTGACATCATTTTAACCATACATTCTTCAATAAAATAATATAACACGCAGATCAAAAACTTTTACTTATTTTTTAACCACACATTTCTCATCAATACACTATTCAAGAATGCATTATTACCAAAATAATGTGGCTCAAACACCCCTTAAGTAAAATTTTGAGCTTAAGCATGCGTTACATTCATGCTAGAATCAACTATGCTGTGATGCAATCAGGGATATGATTTGATACAAAGGATTTAGATGTTTTGGAGTATATTTACAACAACTTTTTGATCTATGCACGTCGAATGTAGATTTTTATGTGTACTGGAATGGGATGTATTTGTAAATTAATGTTGTTGGGGATGTTTGATTATGTATGTACGAAGTACGTATTGAGAGAATGTAGGGTCTCTTGATATGTGATTTGTTTGATTGGATTTGATATTCTGTTGAGGAGAATAAGGACGTGGTTATTATAGTTTGCCCTTTGTGGTGAAAGAGCTGATGATAGAGAACTAGGATTGTGACTCTCAGTCTAATGTTCTAGAGTTGATAATGTCAGAACAGTGTAATATTACCATTTGAAGTTCTGGGAATAGATTCCTCTGCAAAATAACCTTTCACGGGGTCTTGTCAAACCAATACTTGTCGGCAACTGTCAGCAAGGTGAAACCAAAACTACCCTTCCCTATGAAACTGGTACCTAGGGCAAGTACTCTGTTGCATTATTTCTTGTCTTACTGATACCAAGTTTGTGCCAATGAGACTGAAGGGAATTGCGCGTTCAGTCGAATATTATTTAGAACTAATTCCCTTAATGAGTCTATCCTTCAGGCTGTTAAATGTGCATTAGTTGTAGTTGATTTGATGGTTCTGTTGTATATGGCTTAGGACTGGAAGGACATTTCTGCAACTTCCAAGTTATTTAGTTCTATCTTTCCAGTTAATTGAAATAGCGCCCTTAACTTGTACGATCTTTAAAATCAGAATTTCTATTTGTTTTTGGTGGACACTAATTTTTTTTTCTAATTATGGAGTCACTAATGTTACTGTACTTATAAACCTCATTAGCCTGTATGACATTAAAGTAATTTGGGGCCACATCATAAATATTTCAGGGTATTCAAGTGGTTGAACTAGTCTCTACATATAATATGTGATATTGCTTCCCCACCCCACCACCCCAAACTAAGTGGTGTTTCTTGCATACACTGTACATTTGAAATTAGGTTTTGGAGAATGATAAATTATCCATCTTGCTACGGAAATGCTGTACTCTCTAGAGTTGATCACTACTTGTTTTACAGGGGAGGCGGTAGAGGTGGCTATGGAGGTGATCGACGTAGAGACAACTTCAGAGAAGGTGGTGGTTCTGGACCAAATAGGAATTATCACGGTGGAAATCGTTCGCGCCCATACTGAACTTGCAGCAGAGCATTTTATGTACTTCTAATATTCTGATGGGAGAGTTTTTTATTTTATTGCATTCACGGATTTATTCTCTAATGGAAACAGAGGTAGGTTGTTCGCTTACTTATAGCAATACCCCTTTTCTGTTCTTTATCCTTTTGTGTACTTGGTGGGCAAAATTTTCTTATTGCTTCGGATTGATTCGAGCTGTGTGAATGTCTTTATAGAGGCAAGTGGATATTCTCCAAATTGCTGCTAAAGGTAGGTTGAATTGTCAGGTGAGTGTTGCTTATCTAGATTGTAATGCATTGTTTGTTCTGACTGACTGTGTTTTGTGATTTTGCTCTCATGTTTATTCCCCTTGATTTGATGGACCCAAGTATGAAAGCATATCACCGCAGCATACAGATTCAGTTTTGGTTAAGAATTTGTTTAATCATTTTCTTACCTTCCTCTCACCTTTAGGTCGTAGTTTTTGTTTACATGACACGATGAATAGCTAGTAGCTGGTTGATAAGTGGCCGAAGTTAAAGAAGGAAGAGATTACTTTAGTTTACTCTTTGGGAACTAAATCTTGAAGAAAAGAGTCTTGGTAGAACTAAAATCTGGCGAAAGATATTTAGGTTGTGCCGTGTGTTCTGATTGTACTTGTTGGGGGTTCTTTCCACTTGCCAGTCTGATAAATTGTCATTTCCCTTCCTTACTTTAGTTGGCTTGAACAGTAAATATTTCAAAATCTTTCCCTTTGGGTTGTGCTCGAGGTAGATTTCCATGTTGATTACATACTCACATTTTTCTGTTTTTTTACTCGTAAAAGTGGTTGGTCTTTTTAAAAAAGAGAGAGGGCTCTTCAGCGTAGTTCTGAGTTATTGGGTCTCTGATTGTAGTCGTCTATGATAGTTCAAAAGCTGGACAATGGATTCTCTTCTGGTAGAATGTTTGGAAGTAGAGTTGAGTTTGGAGGGCAGCGCATTGAGCATCGAAATATGGATTAAATACTGACCGATCTTTAAATCCGACGCTGAACTCTACAATTTCGCAAATTAGTGAAACTCAAGTTCTTGTAATTCTGTAAATGATTTATCAAGGCCATTTCAACTTGGTGACCATATTTAGTAATATTGCTTCCAGATATATTTGTTTATTTTATTTAACGCCCCCTTTTTGAGGTTATCCTAGCCAGCTTCATGTGTACCGTGCCAGAAGTTTTTAAGTACTGCGAGACTGGTGTCTCAAGTCTTAACTCATGATCTTTTCCTCCCAATTGGTGAATTAAAGGGCAAAATAAAATTCCTTGTTCAATTTCTATTCTCGAAACGTGCATGTTCCTTGTTCCGTCATTCTAAATTTTTGGCCATAATATAAATTGATTTATAATATATGGAAGCTTATAAGATAGATGTTTAAGGATCCATGCTTGGTGACATTGCCTTGTTTTCCCTTCAGAAATACTGGAATTGGACTGAACCAGTTTCATCGAGAATTCTATGCATGTGGATGGTTTTTATCTTTCAACTCTTCATACCCTATCTTCAGCTGGTTAAAATTATTTCTAATTTGAATTCTGAACGAGAGAGTTCAACAATGAAATATTTTGGACATTTTTAGGGACACTTGTGAAGTACGGTTGAAAACATTTATATTGATTTGGATATGGAAGAAAAATGTTGTATTGATGCACAGCAATGTAATTTGACGATACTGAGATTAAAAAGTGAATATTCTGAAAACTGGAAAGTAAAATGATTTAACATGAGGTGTGCACAAAGAAACTGAAGTTTCGTAAAAAGGGAAAATTGAGAATAAATCTTGCCCAAAGAGAAGTCGTTGAACTGGTTTCTTCTCTCCATTTCCTGGGCTTTGAATGAATTACCGGACTTGTGTAAATATAATGTTGGAAAAAAAAAAATGAAGAATCCTCCTTTGTATCTAGGTCACTTCCAAACTGTCGTTAAGTAACCAATGTATGCATTTCCGTTACTATGGTGAGATCAAAAGAAATTAGTAATCAAGATGAAAACACTTGAAGATACTTTTAAAATAAATTTTTTTATTCATATACTAATTTTTAAATAGAAATACGTTTTTTTTTTTTTAATTAGATTTCGATTTGAGATAGAGAATATTTTATAATATTTCAAGATAACTAAATAATAATGAACGAATTAGGAAATCAAACAATATAGATTTAATCATTTACCGAAAAAATGAAATTCCTAAGTAAAATCTAGAAAAATAAATAAACTAAAGAACAAGAAATAGTCATTCCAGTCAGTTAAATTTTAAAATAAATTCTACTTTGGTTAGCCTCGTGAGAAGTCTAACTAAAGTCAAAATTAAGCCTATGTCTAGGAGCGCTATTTCAAAAGAAAAAACGGTTTTTCACTGTAATGTGGGTCCTCTTAATTTTTAAATGCAATGTCAAGTACTATAGTCAAATCATTTTTTGAATTTTACTTTCAATACCTATTTTACCCTTTTATATTAAAGGTAATTCTACCACTTTGTTTGGACTGATTCCAAGGGTAATAATGACAATTTAAATGAATTTAATGAATTCGGCCACCTTTTCTGACTATGCGTTCTTGAAAACGTACAAAAATAATGGAACAAAAATTTTAACATCCACAGTAATTTTTATCAAAATCGGATAAAATCCAAGGGTAAAATCGATTCCAGGCATGTGCCAGATTAAAGAATACGAACCCTTCAATTCATTGAAGAAGGTAACATTATTCATAGAATTTGGCCGATAAATTACTTTGTGCATGCCTGATAAGTTTTACTTCCTTTGTTGCATAAAGATAGAAGATTCGTGCTACACAATTAGAGGGGTTGACATAGCACACATATATGGGGAGGTCGGCATTATTTTATTTGCGAGGAACCAACGCCTCAACTATGGGTGTTGTGTCATTCTTTGTATCAAACAATATGTTCGTTTGGCATTTTTCAAGATAGAATTGCTTCACTTTTATCTGTCATGAA